TCAACTTGCAAAGCCTATATTTACATGTACAAAGCAAGCTGTACCATTACTTTTCTTTTTCTTTTTTCTTTTTTTGTTTGAAAAGCAAAATATTAAGGCTTGAAAAGATCTCTTATAAGAAGTGCTAAATTATGAAAATACAAAATTATATGCCTAAAGAAATTTCAGATTTTGATAAATTTATTGAAATCGTGAGAAATTTAATTGTAAGAACTTCAGTATTGAAGTTATATAACTGTAATAAGCATGAATTATCTACTTTTTTAACTAGATGATATATAATAAAAATACTATTTTACTACTCTCGGTATATTTATTTTTAAAAAATTAAAATAACTTAATATACAGTCAAAACAAACTGGTGGTCGGTAGAAGGTTAGAAATAAACATTAATTACTAAAAATCCATTTCTATCTTTGACTACATCAAAAAGATGCAATCATCAATGTCCAGCTTTATGCCGCCATATTCTAACTGCTTCTTAGATATATGACCAGGGCAAGACAAATTGTAATACTTTTTCAACTTTTTATTCAGCGTATTGACTTGGACCATGACAAACATGTAACCAGATAAATTATATGTGGTCCAATTAAGGTTGAGCTCTTCCTATATATAAATATATAATACATGTTATGAACTTATCCAGCACTGGACTTAAAACTTCTTCTTCCTCAACCTTCTTAATTCCTTTGCCTCGGACTTCTGTCTTTCAGCAATGTCTCCCAAATTTTCCTCCTTTCAACCCTTCAAGCTTGCAACGTTCTTATTAATTTTGTCTCTTTTTGGTATTGCTTCTGCTCAGTTATATCCGGACTACTATGCAAAAACATGCCCCGGGGCACTTCCTGCCATTGAAAAGGTGGTTAGAGCGGCGGTTGCAAATGAGCCCCGGATGGGAGCATCCCTGCTTCGTCTTCAATTCCATGACTGCTTTGTTAATGTAAGCCATCTACTCCTTCATCTTAATTTTCTGGTTTTTTTTTTTTAATAAAAAAACTAATATCTCATTTAGTTTTTATCATATAGTCTTGATTTTGTTTTTGAACATGTTACAAAGTTAAACCTGTTACCAGTTCGAGATCATGATGGAAATGTATCCTAACAATTGCTTGTGCTCCATATATGTACCAGGGATGCGATGGATCTGTACTATTGGACGACACACCTACGATGAAAGGGGAAAAAACAGCAAAACCAAATAACGGTTCTCTCAGGGGATTTGATGTCATTGACAGGATCAAAGCTGAAGTTGAGAAAATTTGTCCCGGTGTTGTTTCATGTGCCGACATTATCACCATTACCGCTCGTGACTCTGTGGTTGCTGTAAGTAAAAAAAAAAAAAATTAACTACATGACAAATTTTGTACATATAATATTTGAATTTTAATTATTTGATCTTACTCTTTTTTTTTTCATGGTTTTGTTTTAGTTGGGTGGACCTTACTGGACAGTTCTCTTGGGCAGAAGAGATTCAAAGATAGCAAACTTCAGTGGTGCTAACTCAGACCTCCCTGCACCCACTTTGAATCTGACCAACTTCACCACTTCCTTCGCAAACAAAGGCTTAAGTGTTAGTGATTTGGTGACTCTTTATGGTGCCCACACTATCGGCCAAGCTAGGTGCACCAATTTCCGCCCCAGGATCTACAATGAAACAAACATTGATCCCTCCTATGCGAGAGCATTGAGAGCAAACTGTCCGGTCAACGGAGGAGATAACAATCTTGCTCCTTTAGACACTGCAACTCCAACAATCTTTGATAATC